GGGCCTTCTAGGGTCTTTTCTTGCACTTTCTGTGCTTACTACCGTTGGATTCTAAAAAAATATGAGTAACCATATTGTTGTTTTCACATGGGAGAGTGTGCTTGCGGGGAGGAGATAACTCCTCACGCCATCCACACTGTTCAGGTAGGCACTTTCCATGTTTCTTCTAATTATTATTTGTCATTAAACATGCTGAGGAATAGAATCACCACATGTTCCTATCGAAGCGACTAGCAGCTCAGGACATGCCTGCAGGGCGATAGCATCTTCTCAGGGAGGGACAGCTCAGATCTGATAACCGCTGTGCCTGAGCCCAGACCTGCCGAGGCTCCGGCAGCGCCGGACCACGGCACGCTGTCCAGGCAGGTTCGTACTTCTGCCAGTGTGCCATGGGCAGCTGGGGAACGAAGTACTGGAACTTGATGTGTATAAACGACCAAGCATAGCAATGTTCAACAGGAAGGCAGATGGAGTCCCAAGTAACCTTTACATTCAAACCCCTGAATATACAGTCACAGCTGTGGCTGTAAATGAAAACCGAGAACTGCTTGTGCCAGCAAGGGGGTCTGCAGCGGTACAGCAAGGGGCTGCTGGCCTGTGGAACACAAGGGATGTGTTACTGCAGTTTCCTTGAACCAACACTGTGTTCTCAGCTTTTTTGCAGTGAAACAGAAGTAAAAGCCTCACATCAATATGCTGTCATAACACAGCGTCAGTTAGACCATCTCTTTTGTTGAAACAAGATATACACTGTGTGATACTCAGGTGCAGTCCTCGCATCCAGGAAAACTAAGTAAAGAAAAAATTAGACTGATTAATCAGTGACGGGCAGTAGGCAAGTGAAAGTTTCCCATTTTATCTCTCTAGTAAGAAGAGTCTCTCCCAATTAAATTTTCTGATTTCAGCCATTAGCAGCTAAATCCCAGACAACATTCCAGCGTAGATGTGCTGGGGCAAAGGTGAGAACACGAATACATTTCCAGTTTATTGCCATTGCATTTTCTCCTCTTGACAGTTTTACAGCAGCAGAACGCTCATGCACAGAGAAACACGACAAACCAACTCAACACTTAGGAGCAGATACAAGCCACACCAAAGGATTACAACAGGAAAGGTTGCTTTGCTTGCAGAAAGATAGCATTCTTCACCTATAACCTCTTCTGGAAAAATATAGCAAGGCAAACAGAAGCAAACAAACCCGAACAGCCACTGTAAACACAACACAATAATTAGCTGTTTCCTATTCAAAGACTTATTTTCTCTTCAAGAAGCAAAATCAGTAGGATCTGTCTCTCTGGTACAGAGGATTCTAGAAATGTAGTTTAATGAAATGCAGCATAGACAGAAACGCTCGTGATGCATTTTTAGAACTTTATTTGATCAATAAACATTTAAAGAACCCAGAGGAGCCACCACGGCTCTAACAGAGCTGGACTTCACCCACCAAGAATACATTAGCTAATGTCTTACAGACTTTACTCTTCTGAATAATGCTCAGGAAAATAACTGTCATTTCTATTTTCCTTAAGGAAATGGAACAAAAACCTCTGGAGAATTCCTGAGCTGCTCACCGCTGCCTAAAGAGCGATCTGAAGCTCTGCAGGTAGCACAGCACATGTGGTTCACTTGATCTCTTCTATGCATGAAATTTAGGGAAAAACACCGGTACGTTTTTTGACAAGCTTGTAAAATTGTGATTCCTTTCACTACCAAATTGCACTGAAGCACATACAATATTTTGCCATTTTGAAAAGTATTAAGTGGTACTTCAAAAACAAGATGCATGAATTTTGCTCCCTTTTAACAGGCCTGGTTGCAAACTGATACCTCTAATTAATAAAGGGAGTACAGAAAGCTCTGCTCTTTGTTCAAATGGTGTTTCAGCAGCTTTCTGGGAACTGTATCTGTGAATCTCAGAAATAAGACACTATTGACAAGAGGTGGATATTACTGAGAGTTTGCAGATTTTTTTTTTAATATTTTCAGAAACAAAGGTTGTTGTTATCAAATAGAAAGAAGCCAATATAGGTGATAAATTTGCCTTCACCATTGATTGCAATAAACCTTTATGAATAAGCCTGCAATGAACCCCCCGATGGGAATTCATTTGAAGGAGGAGATATAATGCCAATGTCAGTCTAAAGCAAAAAATCTCATTTCCATTTTGATCTGCAGTATTTCCCAGTTGATTCCTTTCTAGAATGATCTCAAACATTTCTGATGCTAATTGAACACGATAGGTCCACAGCTATTGCCCATGTAGTGAAGTTGTTTGTTCTAATTAAAAAAAACAAATGCAGACGCTTTCCTTGTAAGCTAATTTTTGAAACGTTATTAGCTTCACCTCTCACAGATGAAAACACAACAGGGCTAGGTATTCTGTTCAAGGCTTCCTGGACACAAATGTGGGCACACACATCTCTGCATGTACAGCAACACTCCAACATGAGACTTATCTAACCCCTGCACCAGACCGGGGAATAAAGGCAGGAACACCATTTATTTCATACACTTTCCTATCTGTATTTCTGCCCTTGAGATTTTTCCTGGGCACATTTGCGACTGGACTCAGGCAGCTCAATTTTCACTTCTTGTGAGAAAGCAAGATAAAAACCCCAGTTTGTTTTTTAATTTGTTTTCAGAATGAGGTAAGGGACATGAGCATGTCTCCAATAAGAAGGAAATCTTAGAGAAATCTGTGCATCTGAAGCTTTATATTTGTCTCCTTCCCGCTTTCCCCTTCCAGTTCAGCCCAATAACACCAGGGATTAAACACGATGGTCTGAAAGATCAAGATATTCCCAATATATCCCAAGAGGCTAACGCTAATTAAAGCTGATCTAAAGACTTAAGAGTTTGAAACACAACAAAACCAGACTGAACTGTGACAAGAGACTAGTTGATAGTTTTATTCTGTTTAGATCAGATGCCACGTGTGTAGCATTATTCAGTCATTAGGGATTGCCTGATTGCTGGTATTTTTTGCTCCAACTTAAAATTAGAATTGAGCACATATATAAGGAATTAAAGTGACAAAATCTTATGTCTTCAATTAAGCACAAGTAGTTTTAAAAGTGAGATTGGAAATATATACAGGTTATACAAAAATTCTTCAGGAATAACAGATGTACTATTTATTTGGACTTGTAGCAGCACTATCAACCAGACAATCTTTGCAAGTCCTTCCCAGGTCTATATTCTACGACTCTATAATTACCAAGTAGTTCATTTTGAAAAGCTGTGCAGAAGCAGCACGCTCTACGATAGGTAAGAAAAATTGCTTGTTGTATGCTATCAATGAGGATGAAAAAAGAAATAAAGCATAGGAACAGCTTTGACAAGAGATAAAGATGAAGACACAAAAGAGCTGTAATAAGTTAAGCAGAACACATCCATACTGAAAAGGAAAATAGAAATTATATATTTGCTTGGAAGTAGAAGCAGTTTGAGCAAGGAGAGACAGGTCATCCTCAAAAGAGCAGTAGCAACATAGGCTCCATGGGGCAAGATGCACTAAAAATCACGGGATCAAGAGAAGTAGGGAAGGTGAAAGCTTGATCTAGATAACGATGAAAGGGCAAACTTTACATGGAAGAGAGAAACAATCTGGTCAAATAATTAATGAGGGAGAAAGAAAGAAAATACACTGCAGTTATACAAAAAATGAGGAAACAGGTACACTGAGGAACAGAACAGAAAATTTGGTAGAAGCAGTGAAAAATAAAGTTTTTGAAGAATATAAGGCTGAAGAAAAAGAAGAGGCAAGCAATTATAATACACTACCAAGCACCTATTCAAGCTTTTCTATTCTCCTCCCTACGGAGCACGCAAGTTATTACAGTCTCATATCATACAGTCTCATCTCTTTCATTCGGGACACTTTTAGCTCCAGAGACCCCGGCAGCGTCAGCCACGGAACTGCCATCACATCCTCACCTGAGGTGTTAGCGAAAAGGAAAATCTGGGTGGGCTCAAGGTGCAAGTGACAAGTGAGGATGACAGAGCCTGATGAGTTTGGTCACCTAAATGAAGTCATCTTTCCAGGGAGAAGCCACTCTGAGGCAAAAAGAAAGTCCAGTCACGCTGCCTGATGTGCAACCGAGTTCACTGTCCACAGTTCCTACATTGACTGGATCTTTGCACAGCTCTTGCTCTGCAGAAACTGCAGTCAGAGAACACGTAAGCCCACTTGACACTGCTGGAGTGTCCAAACCTATGATATAAGCAAACCCAAAGTGACACTTCTATTGTGAGAAACTTCAGCAGTTGATGGCATGCTGCTTAATCCTTCTGTAGGTACCATTAGACAAAATACTAAGGAGCACAGCTGTATCGAGCAGTTACTTAGATGGATCTAGAAAACCGCACACGGCAGCTTATTCGCACCATCTGCCACAGAAACGTCAGTCAAGGGGAGCAAGGCAGACACCTGGGGATGTCCGTGCTGAGGAATTACTTAGAAGAGGAAAGAAACTCCAGTGGGGAAAAAAAATTTACCTCTAAAAATGGGTAGCTTATGCTGTCAATAGGATTAAAATTTTTTGAGGAAAACAGCTGCTGGCATAAGAGCAGCCAGCCTGAATTGTAGTGAATGCCCTGAACCCCCCTGCAGTTGGGTAGCACCCCCCCCTTTCATGCTTAAGTGTCTGACAGGTGTCCTGATTTTAAAGCTGACAGCAGTTTTTCAAGGCTTTCAGTAGCACAAACAGCTGGTGAAAAGTACACAGAGTATACATCCCCTAAATACACTATCCATCCAACTGAATCAGCCCCAACAATGGCTGAAATTAATGCAACTTTAAAATATCATACACATTACACGCAATCATTTTCCTTTCTCATACCTGGACAGTGCAGTTGGAGGAAAAAAAAAAAAAAAAAAAAGAGCCATGTACTACACAGCATACCTGACATTAGTCTGCTCAGTATCACAGTAAGCACAGATCAATATTTCTCAGTTCCTGCAAAGTCTACAGCATTCTTTAATGGAAAAAGCTTACCCAGTTTTCAAGCTGACCAAGGCATCTTCAACTCCTTTCTGATTATACTTTGTCATGTAGAGGTGCATATCAGGGTAGTTGTTTCTGATATTCCTCTCTGTGCTTCCATTTGGGACTGTTCCAAATCGAAAAGGAGGTGAATAGTCATGCGGCCTTTGGAACTAGAGAGAAACAGGAAAAGCATTCAAAATGGGAAGGAGGGCAATTTCAGGTTGGAAAAAACCATAGGTTGTATAAGCTGCCTCCAATTTCTTCTAGGCAAATGCTGTGGGTTGATTCAGCTCTATTATACCAGAATTGCTGTCTTCACACTGGCTGAACTTGCAGAAACATCAACATCCAAAGCAAACCCAGCTCAATTCCGCCACTGTAATGTGACTTTCTCCCATGCACTGTGACATGGCAGGACCACAGAGACACTGGAAGATGTTCCTCATCTGCCAGCATCTCCCTAGAGAACCCGAACTACAAACTGACACAGGGATAAACAGCAATCAACAGAAAACAGGATTTAGTTGATAGTCATTTCACACCCGCATCTCAGTTAAGACATTGTGGGTCCCCACGCGAAGAAGGCAAGAGGGTGGTTTGCAGCACTCGGGTGGGAGCCTAGTGCCTGCTCCGGGGGGTGCAGGGGCCTGCGGGCAGCTTGCGCACAGGGAGGGACAGGGCGAGGGCTGGCTTGCTTTCCGCAGCCGTGATTCAAGGGGAATAGAAGTTCTTGCATCTTCCCCAGGGGCTCAGCATCTACACCATTTGATGTGAAAACGGCTTCTGGAACTCTCACACCTAGAATCCTAGTCCCTATTTATTCCTACAGTTTAAAATTACAAACCATTTTCTTGCTGGCATACAGGTTTATTCTACAGTTTTATCCTCTGTACGTCAGCACGTACACACAAGCCAGGGAATACCTCCAAAGGAATAGCAATAGCTCAGGGCACACTGGGGTTTCAGATTTTGAAATAATTCAGATAATCTCACATAAACTTTTGCTAACTGACCTGAAAATTGTATATGCTCCTTTTCAATATCTCCCTTCAAACGCCAAGTGACACTTTAGGATAAGTTAAAACATTTCATTAAGAAATAAATGAAAAAGGCCACTCAAATTAGAGGAACTATTGGCTAACGAGGAAATTCAATTGAGCACTGATAAAAACAGTCACCCATGAATCCCACGGTAAAATGCACTCTGTTTTTACTGCGGAAGTTAGAAGAGCAATCTATATACCCTGTGCTGCAAGAGACAGTGAATATTCATACAGTTGCTGCTTCCTCTGTGCTACACATGTAATACTTCTCTTTTAAAGTTTGGTCTCAGGGCACCAGGAATTCCCAGGGTCCACTGTCAATTTGCAAAGAGAATACAAATAGGCTTCTATAAAAACTGGGGGTATTTTCAGTTCCATCAGCCCTTGACTGTGAAATTATTGCTGCAACAATATTTTCATGTTACAGAACTACAATTAAATGCTTCATTTTAATTAAGCATATTTTGACAAAGCATGAAGGAATGAACTCTACTTTCTACTATGTGTTTAGCTAACAGATGTCTTACTTCTCTCATTTCCCCTTGCCGCAGCTTTACTGTTTAAATTATTACTTTGCTACTACTTTACACATACTAATTGACCCATGCACTAAAATTACACTGCATTCTAGTCATGGTTCTTAGTCTATATTTGCTGTCTCCTTTTTGTGTTTATTATGCAGCACTGAGACAAACACTGCACTTAAATATACATCCAGAGATTCTGCTGATACACACGTAGCTTGCTATTAACTTTATTTAAATCTACAGATAATTAATCCTTGAAGCAGTGAGACGGCTTCCAATATCTCCTAACGTCTGCATCAAATTTTCCAATCAATAGAACAGGGGAAAAAAACCAAAACCCGAAGAACCAGTGCCAATTTAAAGACCTGTAAAAACTGCTGCTGCTCATACAGCTGACATTTTTTGGAAATTCATCTGTGGCGAGTATCCTACAAGATGCATTCCTAATCCTGGGGTATGTCAGGGGAACGGAGGGAACAGGGAAATTTTGGTGGAGTGTCCTGGTGATTTAGAAATGAAGTTTGGTTCTGAATATTGTCACATTTCAAGAACATTCATATGAGCTTAAGCTGCCAGGAGGAGTTTCCTCCCATAGGAATAGTTGAAGGAATTGAGGTATCTGTCCCAAACTGAACATTCAAGGAACAAAATAATATTTCCACAGGAGAGCAAAGATTAATAAGAAGCACTGGTTCATTCAAAGATCGGGGGGATAACAAGCAACTCAAGTGAGGAAATAATTCCTACAAGGAATTCAAATATAGACAATCCAGACAGATAAATAGTTCCAAATGCCATCCATTGACGGGAATTTATTGGCACAAGACACCTAACCAACAAATTTTAACAGTCAAAAGGAGATAATTTTTTTGAAATGAATGTCTGCTACTCCTGCCTGCTCACAGACTATTTATAAAGGAGAAAGCATTAAAAATATTTTTACTAATGGCACACACATATCTAAGATGTATAACCTTCTCATCAATAATTTTAAACTTATATTCTGTGAACTGACATGCCCTGGAGAAGCATATATGGCTCTGTGATTGCAGCAAAGATCTATGTGGCAGGCACGAGAAAAGAAAGAAAAAAGCATCAAGTGTCTACAGACACTCATTTCCTGAAGCCCCATGATGGGAAATAAAATATATCACATCTGCTAGCAAGCCACTTTCTTCCTAGATGCTGAAATGTTAGTTTTTTTAAATCACTAATAAAATCTTTAAATTCAATGCACGAGCCCCCTGCTTGAATCATAATTGTGGAGAGATCTACTGTTATTCAAGGACTAACCAATTTGTTCTTGTTTCCCCATGCTCTGCCAGCTGCTAGAACTCCAGCACATGGTAACAAAACTCCAGTCCTCCTGATCTAGGAATCCCAAACAGGATGGCTGAGATGATGAAACACTCCTGTTGCTTCGATTTTGTTTTACCTATATGCCTTAATAAAACCCACAATTTCATTCGAGTCAGTAGAGTGATCTTTCACAAACATTAAATACTGACTTAACCTGAAGGTTCGCATGCTTGCCTGAAAAGGTTGGTATTCAGAGCAGTTGTCTGTTATTGGTCTGGAGTGTTTTAAGGAACTGTGGAAAACACTACTAAAATAGTAGAAATCAGTAAATATTCTCCCCTCTGCTAACACAGATTTTAATGGAAATCATGGCTGGTTTGGAGCGATAGAAAAACACCCATATTTCAACACAATGCTTTCTTCTTTTACGAGATGGAAACCACTGACAATCTGATTTCTGATCTTTGAAAAATACAGCTACTGTGTTTAGTAATCCCAACACTATCATAATCAGCCGTTAGTGAAACGCGGTCAATATCCATGTCTGACAACTCTCGAGAAGCACTGTAAAGGTCCAATATTGAAGTGGATATTGGATTTAGAGGGTCACTCCAACCATCCCATCACCCATCCTACCTTTCGACCTCGCTCTGCTCTATTTTGACTCAGATGTATCTCTAAGTAACTCCAGAACTTGGGCCATCTTACTGCACAAAAATATAAAGCCAATGTTACAAGAATACTGCGATTGAACAAAAATAAGGAACTTGTAAATGGCAGAACTAAGGTTTCCTGTGAAGTTTGAAGAGAATCCCCTAGGCCACACGCACGTGGGGCATTTTTTAAAACATGACTGTGTGGAGGAATCACGGCAGATAAACGTTCTGCAAGACAATTCTCTTCACTACCCACTCTCCCTTTGCAATCCTGTCTCTCTTCCATTACATGAAAAAGGCGTAAATGGTCTGCAAAGTGCAATGAATGGCAGCTTTGCTGGATACTTTTGGACTCATTCTCTGTACCTTTTTATGAACACAAAGCTTTTAAAAATCTTTTAACACAAGGATGTCAAAATATATATTTCTTCTCCTCTTATGAATCATTGGAGTATATGAACACCCAACCCTCGTGACTCCAGTACATGCTGTGCCATGTATTTTGGGGTGACACACAGGTGACATGGCATTCAGACGTTCATTAGCAGCATTATGAAGGTTGAGGAAACTATCAAGAGGTCTTGAAGCCAAGAATGGTAAAGAGCACGTTATCATGTGTGCAGCAAAGCTGGTGAAGCAGATGCTAGAGTGCAACACACTTCCTGAGCGGGAAGGTATTGAACCTGAGGGTCAGGGCTGACTGGTCAGAGAGAGAAGGGTTTTCCTGGCTTCTCCTCTATCATGTGTGGAGCTGGATTGAGAAACCCCAGTACCTCTAACTGGGAATAGCTTGACTCTTCAGTTGAAGCAGCAGAAAAAGGGGAGAGGGGAAGAATAGTAAACTGCTTTACCAGCCCAAGAATTCATTGAACTTCTAGATATTACTTAAAATTATTTTTACCCATACTTCTGTCCCTTCTCGCTGGCCTTTGCCTATTACTGCTTTGCTTGTAGCAAGGGTCAGAGTTCTCTGCTGAACAACATTAAACTTCCTGCAAATTCCTGAGCTGTTCTCCTACCAGCAGCATTGCAGCGACAAGGCAAAGAGGGGAGAAAAATAATTTAATATGAATTGGATTATATTCCCATAAATTGTCCTTAATTACATGAATTTTTAAAATCCAATAAACCTCAGGATTGCAGAGGAGGCAAAACCTGTGTATGACAAGATGAATGTTTTGAAATAGATCATTGTTGCTTTTCTGGACTTCTGGCTTGTTTAATTTAATCAGAAAAGGCATAGCTCCCCTGATTTATCTCTATATGCTTCAGGCAAAACTTGAAGAGCTGAAAAACAAAGTTGGCAGATCAAATAAATGATCAGAAGACCTCACAAAAGCAGATGTTATTTTCTGATGCAAGGTTGTGCTTGTTTGTTTTGTTGTGGAAATAAAATCCTACTTAGCAGAGAGAATAGAAAAATGACAAAAATAAGGAAGTTATTAGCCAAAAGCTACAGAACAAATACTGACATTTTCCCAGCGCACAGGTAAGAGTGGCAAACAGGCAGCAGAGAGGGAAATTAGGGTGCACTGGCAGAGCACTGTGCCAGGTGCAAGCTAAATCCTGCCAAAACTGAGAGGCAGGAACATGCTCTCTCTACTTTCTCATGATCAGGAGAAACGCATTTCTCAAACCCTTTTTTTTTTTTTTTAATCCTCAAGAGAAGAATACCTTTTATCTGTCTCTTACTAAGAATATTATCTTAACATGGAGGTATATTTAATAGTCTTCATACTCTTTGAAAGGTTTTACAACAACACAGCTTAATGAAAACAAAACTACTGTCATTTTTGGTTTCTTTTTATCTGTCTTTCCTCTAGCCATGCTTGCAATTCATGCTTTGATACTTTAGGAGATGAATCAAAGGCTGGTCATAAAAAGCAGTTAAAACAAAAAACAGACACAAGGCCATCTGAGCTTTTGCCTTCTTTTGAATAACAATTTCCTTTCTTTTCTGTCCTTTGAGACAAATCCCTTGTGAAGTTCTCCCCTGTGCTATACTCTGTTTAAATATTACTTCATAACATCAATATTTAGTTTCATTTTAAAACAACTGGGTGCAAACTTGAAAACAGCATGCCCTTCATGTATTTTGTGCATATCTGTCACAACAATAATTTTGCAAATGGACTTCAATCCCTCCACGCAATACCGCTATTACAGTGCAGCCACAGAAACGGAATAAAAAAGAAGTTTCTAGGTTTCTGATTTATAGGACTATTGATTATAATTCACAAGTACAAAGATCTGGGAAGTATGCTTTCAGCAGAAGAAAGTTCAGTCAAGTTAGAACAAGATGAAAAACAAGCATATTTATTATTTGTCAATTTGTGTGAAACTTGAGGAAGGTGTAATTGAACTACCCGTGTCTACTGCTCAAAGTGGAATTGTCACAAAAAAGTTCTTGAACTGGGGAATTGTCTTCCACGAACACATCAAAATTCTGCACCTTATCCTATGCAATTTACATCTCACTTCAGTGTGATAACACAAACACCCAAATTTTCTTATCTGTTTATTTTTCCCCCTTTACTCTTGACATTTTATACAAGGAAAATATTCAAACATCCACAGACAATATGTATCATTTTTTATCATTTCTCTTTGCCTATTTGTGCTGGCATGACTTTCAGTCTGAACTCTTTCTATAACGTCCTTGCACACTACCTAGAAAGCAAAAATAAATTCTTTCAGGAGCATTAACTGGCTTCCAATAATTACTGGATAGTGGCTTCATAAATATTTTGTCAATTGATACATTATCAATATTCCACACAAAGATGTTAAAATAATTTTAAGTATGCCTTCCCTGCATTCAAGCTGACTTGTTCATTCTTCAGGCTTTTGTATATTGCTGAGGAATTCCTTTTAATCAAACAGGAATTTATTTCCATCACAAAGTAAAATAGCTTTTCAATTAATGCAGTTACTTTTGAAAAGGAAACTCAAAGACTTTGAAACAGTCTGATATTTCATGCTCTGGGTGTTAGGTTTGTTAGTAAAGGGTTACACTCAGAATGAAATAATCCAGTTTTACTTTATTATCTTGCTCAGAGGTTTTTTAGCACAAAGTACAAATTTGTAGAGGGATTATGAAGAATGGACACTGACCTCTTTTGAGCTGAAGACCTACCTTTTTATCACTCAGTCCAGTCACTTGGTCAACAAATTCCTCTTGAATCATAAATGCAGCTAAGTTGGCAGTATAACTAGCCAGGAAAATGACAGCAAAGAAAGCCCAAACCGACACCATGATTTTACTGGTCGTCCCTTTGGGGTTTTGCACAGGCACAGAGTTGTTGAATACCAAGCCCCAGAGTAACCACACTGCCTTTCCAATGGTAAAGGATGGTCCGTGGGGATCTGTAATTGCAAAGAACAGTTATTTTTGTTGCAATGAAATTAAACCTTGGCAAGATACCCTACATAATAACAACAAAGTACTCACACATATATAGTTAAAAAATATTCAACACATATTCACTGTACTCCCAATGGAATCACAGGATTTACCATAGGTACTTTCTATTGGAATGACATTTGTTTCCATATTTGTAAAAAACACTTCAACATTCTTGTACGTGGTATTTACTTCAAAAGTTTTAAAATGAAAATGGAAATCACAGGTTTGGAGGAGAAGCAAACTGACAGGTCTCTTGCAGTAAGGTGTGTGCCACAGTATTGCCCCTTTCAGCGTTCTGTGCCCGCAGACAAGTAAAATGGGAAATTGGGGTTAGGTTTTAATGACTCAGTTCTGGTACTTTTCTCACCCAAATTAATTTGCATCCTCTCCAGCCTTCCAACATGATGCTTTTTGAACTTTATGCAAGAATATTTAAAAACACGATGTGTGCTTACATCACCTACTTTTAAGCAACTTTCCACTGAGAGGATAAATCAGTAAGTCAACACCAGGGATCTCCCCGCAGAGATACATAACTTAGAGAAACCAGGCTCTGGCTCCCTGACGCTTTCAGGGTCAGCTCCATGGCTTCAAATGTGTTGGCATTACAGGTAAGAACCTGTCCTAGCTAATCCAGTCTGTAATTTTTGTTATTCCTGTTTTCAGTCAGCTTTTACTTCATCCCAAAGCAAGAAGTGGTCACAGCGATGCCCTCATGCCCCCACAGTGGCAGAAGGGGATCAGCAATGCCGTTATCCACTAGAAAGGCTGTATTTGTAGAGCCCTGGGAGAACGAAGGCAAGGTGGATCTCCCCCAGCTTGAGGTAAGTACACTGCAGTCATCACGTATTGCTTGTCATCTAGACTCACTTTATCCTCAATGGAGAGAAAGAAGCCTCCCTTGAATGTGACTCATTTGATCTTTTTGTAAGTATCTATTTTTTAATTAAATAGCAATTCAGACAATAAGCTCTGATGCAGACACCTGTAATATCACCTCCCTCCCTGCCCTGTTCCTTTATCCAAGGGGATGCACATCACAAACTGAGGTTTAGTTATTAATTATAATTTATT